CTTTCCTTTTCTCTGTGTCTTCTTCCAAGTCAAATATGGCTTCCTCCTCTCCAGTGAGGAGTAACCCACCAGAAATCTCTTCTGGTGCTATCTGAGGAACTTGGATTCATTCTGTGGGAAGCCTAGGCAGGCTTTAGGCAGTGATTCTGGTGCCAAGAATTTCATCTTGGTGTACACAGCATGTAGGGCTGCATGTTGGTGCTAGATTTACTACACAAATATTTGTTGAATATTAAATAGCTCCAAAGGGTCTCTGTGTCCAGTGTTTCTTCCTTTCCTGAGTAACTTGAAAGGAACCAGAGTAATCATAAGCCACCCGAGTTTCAGTCCCATTGACGTTGAGAGTTCCACAAGATCTTAGCCTGGGTGACTGGTCAGCATGCTGAACACATACTATCATCGGGAACATTAGTGTCCAAAGCACATTCCCAGGAAGACTGATGTCATCTGACATACTCAAGTCCCAGTACCCACAGTCCTAGTGCTTGTGGTCTTTACTGAGTTCTCATGTTCTCGACTTGTCTTCTGAGAGGTGAACTGGGCTCTGAGGGCTCGTTGGGACTGGGCAAGCTGGGCTAAGCCGGTGTTGGTGTCTGCTGCCACTTGTTCATGTCATTGTATCTCAGAGTGGTGAAGGGAGTGCAGTGGCCGTCCTAGCTGCACAGGATGCTGAGGGGAACGACATGGCTCCTTCACTGATTGTCGGAGCTTCTGGGCTGTGTGCCGAGATAGACAGGGCAGGACGTAGCCTGGTTTTGACTTGGAATGATCTCAGTATATTGAGAAGGAACTTTGGTTTCTTTGTTTTTATTTTGTGTGTATGTACATGTATATGTTCTTAACATGCATGTGTATAGAAGCATAGGTCAGCCTTTGGTGTCTCTATTCATTTCATTTTATGAAACAAGGTCTCCCACTGGCCTGCAGTCCAATGATCCCGCTGGGCTGTCTGGATAGTGTGCCCCAGTGACCTTACCTGTCTCTTTGCCTCTAAATCCCAGCACTGGGTTTATAGGAGCACACCATCATGCCTGACTTTTCTTCCTGGGTTCTGGGGATTGAACTCAGGGCCTTAAGCTTACATGGCAAGCACTCTACCCAGCCCCAAGAATTTTACTATTAAAGAAACAAAACAAAACAAAACAAAACAAAACAAAATGTAGCCTTGCTTAGATGCTGGATTTCCCTGAATACTGGCAGGTTGTCTTCCTACCAGTTGGAGGAAGAGCTAAAAGGAATATCTGTGGGTTGGTGCTGGCTGCACTTCCTCAGAACCTCACTTCATCAGGAAGCCTGCTGTATGGAACAAGGCATGGGGGAGGGGCATGCCTGCATGGGTTGTAACTATGCAGAGCATCTTGTGAGGTGTCCTAGTACCGACCTAGGAATGGGGATCTCCCTGCCCCTTCCCTTGTGTCCCAGTACAGAACATTTGCTGGGGAAGGCTGCTTTGCTGGAAACCCAGCTTTGTGTGTATCCCTCCTTCCCAGCCCAGAGCCCTCACCTCATTAAGCCACCTGTGAAGGAGGAAGTGTGGCTAGGCTCCAGAGTCCTCCTTGATACTAGGAGAATCTATGGCTTCCTTTCCTGGCCATAAACAAAAGCAGCTGAAAGAGTGGGCTTTGCTTATCATGGGATGCTTGCTGAGTCAGGGGGAGGGAAGGAGCTTTTCCAGAGTGTTCAGCGTGAGGGGCTTCATCATGAATTACAGACAGTAACCCAGAAGTGCGGTATAAAGCTGACTATTAGCAGCAGACTTTTCTAACTTGTGTAGGGGTCTCATAAAGCATGCACACAAGGACGCTCGAGAACAGAACCTTCCTTACAGAAAAATTGGAATATTGATCTTTGAGAAACACAGATGCTTCAGAAGTGCCTCTCTCTTAAAGTCTGGAAGGTCATACTACGCTTGCAAGAGATACTTGTGATTTGCAGTGCAGTCATGTCTCCCGCATAGGTCTCCCTGGTGACGGCTCCGTGTGTCACATGTGGCGTTCTTCTTGCACAGCCTCAGCCTCAGTGGCAGAGACTGTCATGTACGCAGTGTGCTCTTGTCCTATTATAATGGCCAGAAGCTAGGAGGCAGCCTGTAAGAATTGGCCCAGTGGTAGCTGTGATAGACAGACAGGTCAGGGAACACTTGGATAGGAAATCTGTCACAAAGATTTTGTGTTTGGGGACATTATATTTTAAAATAAGCAGTTCAGCATTCTTAGGTAAACTCACATATTTATGTAGCCATTGTGTCTGTCTCTCTGTCTGTGGTTTTCCATAAGACTAGAATTCTGAACCTGCTAAAGCAACCTCCCCATCTTCCATCCTCTGAGCCTATTCTGCTTCTGCTCCGAGTCCACACTGCTCCCAGAACCCCATTTAAGAGAAATTGTCTGTCTCGGCCTTTGTCCCTTTGTGACTCATGTACCTTACTTAGTGGCCCTCGAGCTTCAGCCATAATGTATCATATGTCAGAATTCCCTTCCTCCTTAAGGCTGAATAACAGCCATTGTATGAATGGGCCATACTCTGTTTATTCACCCATCAGTGGACACTTGGGTCGGTTGGAAAGAGTGGCTGCCAAAGTGGCTAGATACAGACTCTAGAGCAGGGGTTCTCAACCTATGGGTCATGACCTGTCCGGGTCGAATGACTGTTTCACAGGGATCGCCTAAGACATCAGAAAACACAGATATTTACATTACAATTCATTTTTTTTTTTGTTTTTTGAGACAGGGTTTCTCTGTATAGCCCTGGCTGTCCTGGAACTCACTCTGTAGACCAGGCTGGCCTCGAACTCAGAAATCCACCTGCCTCTGCCTCCCAAGTGCTGGGATTAAAGGCATGTGCCACTGCTACCCGGCTACATTACAATTCATAACAGTAGCAAAATTACAATTATGAAGTAGCAATAAAATAGTCTTACGGTCACTACAAGGAGGGACTGTATCATAGGGTTAGAGCATTAGGAAAGTGAGAACCACTGCTTCAGAGCCTACTGTAAGTTCTTTGGATGCAAATCCTGGATCCCATGGTAAGGCTGAGGAACCTGCTGACTGTGCTTCTGATTCTGAACCTCAGAACAAGGGCGATTGGTCGTAGACCACAATGAGAAATCCAGCTGCTGCTGAGAGACTTCAGTAACGGCTCCTCAGCTGCTTTGGGCTTCCTAAAAATGGAGGCAGACTGGGGAAGGTTGGCTTTCTAAAACAGGCCAGTGACATCCTTCTGAATAAGTGACCTTGTCTTTATGTCATATTGAAGTGGTTCATGATGGTGCCAAGCCAGCACAGCAGCTCCTGAGCAGGATGGCGGGGCTCTTCCTTACTGGGGGCTGCCTCATCTTGCAGGAAGCCTGCTCCTGGGTTCCTTCTGGTCAGTATCCCCTCCTTACCGCATCTTGGGTCCACGTGCTGTCACACCGGAGTATGGATTTCAGGAAGATTTAGTTTGCAGTTCTTATAACTACTGCTTTGAAAATCGAGTTGTGGATGGAGAAGCTTGTGATCTGGGGGGAGCAGTCTGACTGCAATTCATAGTAACTCATAGTCTGTCTCCTCCCTCCTCCTCCTCCCTCCTGAATCCCAAGTGTGCACTGCTGTGCATTGTTTAGGTGAGGTTCAGGACGGAACCCAGGCTTCATGTATACTAGGCAAGCACTCTTCCAACAGAACTGCACCCTGGGCCAAAACCCAAGAATCCTGACCTTCCAAGAAGGAAGTGCTTCCCTGAGCACAGGTTTCCTCATTCAGGGAAGCAGGATGACCTGTCGACTCTGCCACTCCCTTCTTTCCTTCCCTTCCCCTTTACAGTAGGTGTGAGTTTACAAACAGCATCAGAATTGTCACCAGAAGCAGATGTGATGCAACAGGGTAATCTGGGACACCCTTCTCCTTCTGGTCTTGGTGTTGCCTCCATAACACTTAGAAGCGACTGTGATTCCAAAGGTTGGTGGGTGACGTGGTTGATTTGTGTTGCTGTTTCCTGTGGTAGAATTAGGACTCAGGTGTTTTAAGAGTATTTGTGGAGGCTGGAGAGATGGCTCAGTGATAAGGATCCAGGTTCTGAATAAAGAAATAAAAAGCAAACGTACATGATCACTCCTTCGTGTGATGGAGGAGAAAATCTCTTACAGATATGTGCGAGAGAGTAGCCAGAGTCAGACGTCTGAGAGAGTCCTGAGTGGACATGACCTTGAGTCCTGTGGGGAGAGAGGGAACCAGGTACAACAGCCTGGAGGCCCGAAGGTACAAAGAGGACAGGTAACCAAAATGGTTGGATTATGTAGGGAAAAGCAGCCCAGCTCCCTAGGCTGGAGAGTTCAGGATTGGGGGCAGGGTCCTAGTTAGCTGAAGGGTCCTATAGCAGGCAGGAATTGAGGGATGCTGGGAGAACCTGGTGGCTAGTGTCCACTTTAATATGTTACATAAGCATCTCAGCCATTTATCCTGGGTTTGAAACCTTCCCAGGACCCACATGTGGCCCACAACAATGTAATTCCAGTTCCAGAGACCCTCATGCCCTCTCCTGGTCTCTAGGGCTTATGCATGTGGGCAACACACTCATACACAGATAAATAAGCCTTTCAAAGGACTCCTTGAAGTGACAGTGGACAGTAGGGATGTATGGGAAAATGGACAACAAACCCCTTATCTTCTGTTAAACAATATTTTACAAAAATAACTTGTCCAGGGCAAGAGTGGTATTGCAGAAGAGACTGCATTTGCCAGCCTCTGCCACCTGGATGCAGAGCAGCCCACTGGGTTCTCTCATCTACTTTTTGGTCAGCCTTTGACATTACCATTCACCTCAGCAGCTCCGTTACATGCTGGGAGAAGAGGAGACAGAAATGGATAAGATAATGCTTTGGTGTCCTTGATGGGCCTGGATCTGACATCCTCAGGTCCCTGGAAGGAGCTATGGTTGCCCAGGGATTCTGAGCCCTCTGAAAACTATTGTTGAAATTTCCCTCAGGAATCTGACAAGGTCTCTGTCTTCTCCTGCAGGTCCTTGCAGTCTGTGTGAGCTCCAGGCTTTGCCATCGGAGGTTGGAATCTTTTTAGGTAAGTTACTGCAGGCTGCCGTGCAGACCATGCAGACTGAGTTACTCTCGACAGCTATTTGATGTTTTAATTGGACTCCTACATCCCAATAATGGTTCTTTGGAAAGGTGTGTTCTCTCTCCATGTTGTGAATGCTGTAACAGATGTGGTGAGCAGGGCTCACACAGGTTCCTTTGACCTTTAGAGTTGCCTAATGTCGTGGGATGGGGGTTCAAACCTAGTCACTGATGAGTTTCTGTGTGTCCCTTGGTGTCTTTTTGAGGATATGCGTTTTATAATCAGTCTGTGCTTGTCTGTGTAGAGAGTACCCCATAGGTAAGAGGGACTTGGGTGAGCATATTGTTGGCAAAGGGCTGCCTGAAGTCCACTGTCCTGGAGAGTTAGGACATGGTGGGGCATGCTGAGGTGAGCTGCCGTAAGACAGATGGGCCAGATGGGAATGGCTGTTGGCTAACCTTTCAGCCTTGAGTCAAGGTGTGCTTCCTCTTTTCTTACATGAATTACAGAATCCGTGGAAACAGCAGGAAGTGAGATAGGTCTCTGAAGGAGCCTGTGTCTGCCCTGCCTCATAAGTCCGGCTCACACACATGCACATTTGTACCTCACATGTGTGATCTTCAACCCTTTGCACCTAAGAACATCAGTGTATGTTTCTTGGGAATAAATGTGTGTGTTGAGTCATGGCAGTTCAGTTAAATAACCTTGAGTTATTTAATACTGACCCACCTATGCTCCAGGAAGGAGTGACTGCTGAGGAGGGGCAGCAGAGGCCAGGATGGCTCTTCTGACATGGCCTTGCTCCTTCCTGATGGGAACCAGGAGACCCAGTCCATTTCCGGTGCTCAGGGAAGCCCATGAGCCCAAGTAAATTCTGCTGTGGAAATATCAGTGCAGAGAGGTGAGAAATGTTCCAGAACAGGAAATAGGCAAGACTGCAGGGTTTTGCTTAAAGGAAGGAACCTTGTGATGCTGCATCTGTCCTTCTAGTGCTGTGGGCTCCTCTCCAGCTGTGTGACAAGCCATGCTGTCAAAGCCAGGTGGCTCGTTGAGATTGGAGCTACCTGGACACAGCTGAGCACCCTTTGGCCTTTTCTTACCTAGGAGAGTTTTGGAAAGCAGCTGTGCTTGGGTTTCTCCACCTGGATGACCCATCTCCAGACCAATGCTTAGTTGGTCACCATGGGAAGGGAGGTCATGGGCAGGTCCTAGTGTGTGCTTCAGGGTGAGTGGTTCTGACGCCTGCCAGAGATGTTAGGCATCTGTAGTGTGTCAGGTCATAGTTTATTGTGTTACATAAGAGTATTACTTCATACAACGGAGAAGTGCAATAGAGGAGAACGCTCCAAAGATACCCGTAGACTTCCTGGAAGTCTGGTCACATTTAAAATCCAGGCAAATTTAAAAAGTGAAATTACCTGGGTGTAGTTTTGCAGACCTTTGATCTCAGCACTCAGAAACTGAGGCAGGTAGGTATCTGTGAGTTCAAGGCCAGCCTGATTTACATATTGAGTTCCATATGAGTTCAGCCGTTAACTGTTGATACCCACCCAACACACCAACTGTTGCCGTGCAAACCTGACTTCCTGAGCTCTGTCCCCAGAAACAACATGGTAGAAGGAAAGAACTCTGATCTCCACATACATGCAATAGCATATGTGTGCCCCCCTCTGACCTCTATACACATATGTATATATGTGCACATATATCCTAATATATAGAAGGATATACCTACTGTGTACGAGACTTGCAGTGTACTTCAGTTTGGAAATTGTTTATAGTCCTGCATTATAAAGACGCACTGTCGTGTTCTCCCTCCCTTAGTGAAAAGCCGCTGAGTCGGTCGTCTCTGGGTTTATGAATGCGAGGGCTGGGCTCTGTCACGGAACACGTTGTAATTTCATAAGCTGTTTCCTTTCTTTGGTTTGTTTGTTTGTATGGAGCGTTTGTTTGGTGGCAACAGCAGTGGAAGGTTTCCTGAAGGAGGCATTCACTGAGGAACAATGGGTAGCGTTCAGACTTTGATTCCTTGGTGAAATAACTGTTTTTGTTCCATGGAGGCTTGTCTCTGTTAATTAACCATGTGTCTGAGAACAGTTGGGGAACCCGCCACATCCTGAGTAATTCCAGCCCAGGCTCTTGTGCCTCCTACTTTCTAGGGTCGAAGTTCTTGAGACCTCGGATCATTCGGTCCCTTACACACCTGCTTGGCCATCCCCCACTTTGAAGGATGAACAGAAACCCTAAGCATGTGGTCCATCCTGGGGGCTATATTGTGGAGTCAGTGAGGAGCTTCTCTGTTTACATTAAACTGCGCTTAGCAGCTATCGTCGTTCGCTTTAAGTGTATCTGTGTGCTTGGCATTGCTACTCCTGTTCCTAATCCTGTGAGGATGGAGATGAGATGCTTGGAAACCTGCCAAGGGCTCGGAGTGAAAGGAGGGTTGTCTTTCTGGCTGGAGGACAACAGCTTTGAGCCATTTTGGCACAGGATATATGTAGACAAACATGCTAGTATGTGGACTTTTTGTGTTGGTGGCTAAGACCTGTAATCGTAGCATTCAGGATACTTAGGCAGGAGGACTGTGAACTCTGGATTAGGCTGGGCTACATATGAGACATTGTCTCAAAAAAGAAAAAACAATCCCCATACATACACCCCAAAACTGAGCTTGGTGGGACCTACGATTTAGTGATGGGAACCGACACATTAGGATGGTCAGTCTCTGAGCGTGGCCGCTGCGCTTGGCCGGCAGATTGTCAGGGTTAGTTTATTTAACCTTGAGCAATTTACCTGAACCCTTTGTTTGTTGCTGGAGATTGAGCCCAGGGCCTTGAGTTCAACCTAGATTTTCGTGCTTCACTTTACGTATAAGCAGAATGCACTGTGGAGTGTCACCCAGGCAGTGACCTCTGGGAGGGGCGGGTCCTCGAGAAGGCGCTGAGCCTCCTTGTCCGCTGCGCTGTGGTGAGTGAGCATCTCCTATGGGTGATCTCAGCTGCTGTTCTTCAGGGTTGGAATGCTTGTGTCTAGCTTGGAGAAATAGCTATACAAACGTTACTCTCAAGGTTTTGGATGAGTTTTATTAATAGGGACACTTGCCACTTCTGATATAGCTATTTAACTAATTTCTGAAAAACAATTAGCTAAATTGTTGGTAAGACTACCATGATCTGTATGTCCATGTGACATAATTTCTGAAGGGAATACAGTGAGAATTCCATCTGAGGCAGATGGGACTGACCACAGGCAGTCATTACCCTGAATGACATCTTCCACCTGGGAAGAGATGACTTGCATTTTATGGCCTCCTTTTGTTCTGTGCCTGGAAATCAATGCACTTTCCATTCTGCTGATGTTTCCCGGGCTATCTCAGCATTTTTAGCCTTAGGGTTTGGGGTAGTTAGGAGTCTGCTAAGCTTTAAGATTCAGTAACTTCTGGCTCAGAAGTTAAAAGCTAATTGCCTTTTAAAGGACCTGGGATAAATTTGGCTCTGGACCTGCAGCGTCCAGATTGAGGGGGCTGCTACTGTTAGGGTTGGCATTAGGGTTGGAGCCAGGCTCTTGAAGCCCGAGAGCCTGTCCTCAGTAGACCACATAGAGGGACAAGTGACAGGGGAAGCCAAGAACGGAGATTTACTCCATGTGGCCACATGGGGAGAGAGAAGAGGAGCCCAGATGTCCAGTGACCCCTTCTCCCAACTGTCAGGCACGGTGACCTGACAGGTTGTCGGAGCTGTGTGGCATTTCTTCCTGGGAGACAAGTTCTTCCTTTGGCTGACACCGATATCAGCCTTTTTGTTCATGAGATTACTTGGAAATTCCAGTTTCTCAGAGTCCACTCCTTCAGTGTTCTGATAGCTAGGACATGAGAAGAGGACACAGAATATACAGAATACCCTCATTAGCCCGTCCAGGATGGTCACAGGGTCAGGATATCCTCCAGGGCTTGAGGTGAGCCATCTGCAGCTGCTCTACTGTAGACAAGTGAAGGAGTACCTCAGAGAGCGTCAGCACAGTTACTTCTCTCCATCCATAGTAAGAATTCATGGCAAAGATGTTAACTTCTGTATTAAAGAAAGAAAATGTGACTGCTAAGTTAGTATCAGGGATGAAGGATTATTGAAATGTGGATTTTAAGTTTTCAGTTTGTTATGTCTCCTGCTTCTCAGAGTGGAGTCTGTTCAGTTCCTTGGTGCACTCCACAAGGCCGGTGTTCCACAAGGCTGGTGTTCCACAAGGCTGGTGCTCTACAAGGCCAGTGCTGCTGGTCTCTTGGTTGTGTAGACTGTGTAGGCTTCAACACTGACAGTGGCTCACTCTAGACTGGTGTGTGTACATGTCTAAATGCAGGTACACATATACATGTGTCTATATGGAGGACAGAACCACTCTTAGGTGGTTACACTCCTAAAGTGCCTTCCACCTTGGGTTTTTGACTTCTTTTTTTCCAGTTTTGGTTTGTTTGTTTTATGACAGACTCTCTCACTAGCTTGGTGATAAACTCTCTTAGAAATAAAATAGAGACCCACCTGTGACTGTCTCCCTAGCTGTGTGCCTGTCATCACTGCCTCCTAGCTATGTGTGTGTATGTCGTCACTGCTTCCCAGCCGTGAGTGTGTATGTTGTCACTGTCTCCCTGGCCATGGGTGCGCTGGCTGGCCTTTTTTCTTTTACATAGGTTCTTGGGCTCAAACTCAGGTAGGTCCTCATGCTTGCATGGTTGGCACCTTGCAAGCCCTAGACCTAAGTGTTTTGTTGCCTGCTTTGCTGGATTGGTCAGGAGCCCAGTGTTGCCTTAAGCTCTTAGCTGCTCAATCTTGACACTTTTTAAAAGCATCACTGTACTGGAGGTGATCAATGTAAGAATATAATCTATGTATCAGAGAGGGGAAGCCTCATGCCACAGTGCGTGTGTGGCGGTCAGAGAACAACTCGTACAGTCAGTTCTGTCTTCCTATCTTTACATGGGTTGTGAATCCAGCTGTGGTCACCAGGCCTGC